TGTGTATTGCTAAAATTAAAAATTTTGCATTAAAAGTATTAAGAAAGAAATCAGGTTTGCTTTTGTTAGTGGTATACTGATAAGCTTACAGCTGTGATTAGCACGTATTTATGAGAGGCAAATATTATGCACAGTAAGTTAGTGTGCGTATACAAATTATGTTCTTCCAAAGTGCTTTTAGCTCTGTAAAGTGATATTGCAAAAATATAAATTTGAGGTAATATATGGCTCTTACTGGTCATAATTATTAGTGTGAACACCAGGTCCTCAGAGGGGGACTCTGAGCCCTAAGAGAATAGTTTAGAGCTGCCAGAATTAGCAATGATGCAGTATCACCCTGAAGTATCAGGAGCAGAGGTGCCCCAGAGCGCTCCCCAGTCCTGTCAGGAAACTTGAACTGCCCCAGTACTCCAGCAACAGCCTAAGGACTTGAAGTCCCTGAAGCTGGGGGAGGTCTTCCTGGAACCCTCAGAAGCAGAGAGAACATGCCCCCTCAGATACAGTGAGGAGGTTTTACAGATCTTCATAAGGCATGGAGATCAAAGGATATGAAAAAGTAGGAGGAGTTTCAAGCTCAAGTCTCAAAGGTGATTCTCAGGATTTGACCCAGAAGGAAGCTTCCTTAGGAACAGATAATGCATTGAAGCATTTTGCTTCAGCAAAAACATAGAACAGAAATCCTATTGCAGTGTCCTGCATTTTATAGCTTTATTAAAGATGGGTTTGAAGGTCACATTCACTACTCAATTGTAAACTGAATGGAGGGGATAAGATCTCCCCACACGGTACGTTCCTCTCTTGTCTGAGAACGACGCACGGGCTTTTCAGCATAAACTCCATGTCATGCAAGTCCAGCTTCAGTTCCAAAATTCCTATCACACTCTCTGTTTGTGGAAGTGATCTCTGCCAGACTGCCTTAGATACCAATTTTATTTATTCTTAAGTTTGCAAGGATTCTTAACACACATTTCCATTAGAGGTGGTTAGCTGGCAGAGTTTTCCCTTGACTTCTGAGACTGGTGCAAATTGACTCTTGATACCCAAGAAGTGTTACTTAAACAAACTAAGTAGCTTTGGAAATAGCCGTTTATTCCATTAAAGGGCTTGCACATGAGGTCCTCTGGCTAACCTTGGTCTTAACAAGAACCCATTGTGACCCATCAGGACTTGCTAGTACCCCTAGTTCCCACTTTGGTTGTATTTAGAGCTTCAGGATGTGTCACTACTGAGCAAGAAATGCTCAGAAATTCAGGCTATGAGGGGTTAGATTAGAGCAAAGTAATTTTAGGGGAGTTATCCAGAGCTTTCAACCTCAAGGTTTATAGGAAAACCCCTGCAGTCTCCTCTAAGGGTCTTCCAAGATCCTTACAAAATTATTAGACTAGGCATTTCGCAGTAGAACTATAGCCTCTGGCAACATACTTCCAAATGCTAGTTCCCGCCAAGAACAAGTATTTCTTTGTTTTTTATGTATTTCGTGTCTTTACCCATTTTGCCATTAAAATATATTCATTTCATTAACTTATTGAGGATCTGCAAAAAATATGAATGCTATGTGAAACAAATGAACAGTTAATTTTTTTGGTAGTTGAAAAATAATCAAGAGAATTACAAATCAAGATGTTCTGCCTGCATCCTGGAGTCATAGAAATTCTGTGCCAGATGAGCCTTATCTAATTAGGTGATCCTGTCATTTTCTAGAGAAGGAAACAATCCACAGGTTAAAGTGTCTTTTCTAACACAGAGCCAGTCAGTAACAATTCAGAGCAGAGTAAGTTCTTTTTTCTCTCAGCCCATTGTTCTACTTCTCTTCCCTTTCTCTTGTAGTTGAGTAGCTTTTGGAAAAATGTGTTCCTTATAGCAGTAGTTGCAAGGGATGTTATTAGATGTTACAAGAGAACAAAAGTGTATATGGGGTGGGGGTGGGTGGGGACTCCAATGTCAGTTAAAGTTGAGGAATGCTGAGTTTGTTTCCTTTCTGTAGGACTTTGAAGAGTTTTTAATGTGCTCATATATTGTGAATTTATAAGGGGACAAAGGCTGTGTTTTACGAGACTTATTTGACCTTAAACTGCGCCCCATCCTCCTTTTCTCAGAGCAGCTTAAAGGACTCCATGTCCTTTGGGAAACATGGCTCTCAAATAAAAGTTTACAGGTCTTTTAGAAGACATCCCTAATGGAATTCTGAATGGTACATTCACCATGTAAACCGTAATATATCTCAAAGTTTAGTGAGATACCAGAAAGAAGACGTATTTGCCATTCAGAGCTATGCATCAAGTATAGAGATTCTTTTCTACCTATGTTGTGTGGAATCAGTATTTGTTTTAGTTTTGAAAGTTTTTCAAAGATCAATTAGTGTGCAAATACAGTGGTGATATATTGATATTACATTTTAATAATGCTTGTTTGTTTGGCACTTTATAGTTTTCAGAATGCTTTCATAACAACCCTGTGAGACAGGCAGGTGTAAGTATTATCAGATGAGGCACTGGAGGCTCAGAAAGGTTTTTGTGATTTTTCCCTTAAGTTTATACCACAAAATGGTGGAGCCAGAATTCAGTTGCAGAGCTTCTGACTCCAAGTCCAGAATTCTTTACTCCACACCTGGTTTCTTACTTTTTCTTCTAGCTTTATATTTTACTATGAAAGGTATGGAAGCGGATCTTAAACATCATTTTGGCTTCTTACCAAATACTATTTTTTATGGCAGTGACCCAGAAAGTGTAACTCCGATTGTAGTTATCCCAAAGAAAACCCTTCTTTTGTGCTTTGCAGTGCCACTTGTCTGGGTGATTGGAGTGTATTTCAAATACCATTTGATTTTGAAACCAAGATTGGATATATAGTTTTAATTGCTTATGTAACTTCTGGAAAATGTATCATCTTTGCATTCTCAGGCAAAGTAGAGATGGTTTGAAAGTAAAAAAAAAAAAAAAGATTATTCAAATACAACAGTACATCTTTATTCTCACAAACTTTCTTAGCTTTAACTTGCTTTGACAACCGACTGATGTAACATCTTTGTAAATGTAAAATATTTATATTTTGAAATAAAATTACTATGTGTTGAATGAATCAGGTGGTAAACTTAGTCTCATTTCTGTTGAGAAATTTGGTCTTCAGTGAAGTCAAACTTTCACGAATACATCCATCTCTTAGGCCTTATATCTTGCCTTTTCTTTGACACCAGTGCCGGCACTGAATTTTTATGAAATATGGGCAACTTACATAAGGGAAGATGTACCTGTGGAGTGGGTGCTGAGCACCTTAAAGGGGTGAAAGGGTCCAAGGCTAAGGCTGGAGCCCTCAGAGCCCAGGGGAAGGTGACTTTGTGGTAGATAAGGAAGTGATGAGGTGGGTGGCTGGGGAGTGAGACTCAAATGAAAAGAAAGTTGGATAAAAGAACCACATGTTTTGAATGAAGAAAACAAACCTAAGGTATGGCTATCTTCAATAGCAAAGATAATCTACGCAGCAGTAGCAGATGGAGCTGAACCCCAAGTGGAGGTATTTTGAAACACATCTCAACAGTGCTTGGGAAAGAGCTTTCTGACACCTCGAGCTGGTGTGGTATTCAGCTCATCAATCTGACATTATAGATGGAGAAAATGATCCTGGCAAAGGTGTAAGGGGTGGACTAGCCAGCCTCAGATTCAGATTGTTTTCTACTCTTGATAGTTTCTTATTGGCAAATATGCTAGTTCACAAAATATTTCTTCATGCTTCTCAGTCTGTTGCGTAAGCCTAGGACCCTTTCACAGGGTGTGTGCTTCTGTCAGCCTCCCCTGAGTTTGCTTCTGGAAACTTTAGGGTCACAGGTGTCCAGTTCTCCCATCTCCATCACACAGGGGCTCCTTGATTCTTAGCCTTACCCTTAAGTGAGTTTAGTCAGAGTTACACACTAATGATCTTCAGTTACTGAACAGCTGTTGAGAAACTGCTCTGCGCTAGGCACGAGGGGAAAAGTAGTTTTAAAAATAGCGTTGAGCAGAGGTGAAGTTTTTCCATATGTTCTATTTAATTTCCTTTGAAGAGTAATTCTGAACAGTAGCCTGAAGATACCCAAATCACTGTTTTCTTGCCGGGTATCCAGATACTCCTTAAATGATTGCATTATCAAAAGTTTCATCTTCAGTCCAGGTGAAATTGTGAGAAAGATACGGTTAGGAAAAGAGCAGGGTGGAAGGGGGAAATGGGACCTTCTCGAGAAGCTCCAGAAAGACTATAACCTGTAGAATTCCCGTCTTACGGTAAAAGCCCTTCCCTATAGGCTTGACTCTGGTCCCGGTCTACCAGTTAGTTTCAATCCCAGCGCAGCTTCCAGTAATCGCGGGGAATTCGGAGTTAGGACGAGTCACTTCTGAGGAGCATGGGAAGCTTCGCTGGGCATGGATGTCTTTGCCCTGGTAAGAGGCCACGTGGCCGTGGGACGCCCTCAGGTATCTTTGTTTCTCTGTTCTAGAGGGGGTGAGACGTGTGTGGAACCCACTAAGGAATGATCTGAGAGAGACAGGATGGGGATTGGGGACCGAGGACAGAAGGGGCGGGGCCAGGGTTAGGGGGTGGGGCTGCAGGGTGGACTCCAGACTGGGGCGCGTGGAGGCGGAGAGTGGGCGGTCCCGTGCTGGGGTCGGGCCCGGCGGGGTGGCGCCTCGGGCCGCGCGGGTGCATCGCAGCTGCGGAGCGCAAGCAGGCTGGCGGTGGCGGGTCCGCAGCGGCGCGGCGTCCGGGCTCCGCGACGGGCTGAGGGCCATGGCCGCCTCTCCGGGCCCGGCCGGCGG